ATAAAAAGTCCCAGAAATGCCTGAAATATTCATATTCAATGTTTTAAAATTTTTTTTTCAAAAACAATTTATTTTACTAAGAAACATGTAGAAGATTCCAAAAAAATTTTCAAAAATTATTTTTCCAAAAGCTTTATTTTACTAAGACGTGGAAAAGATCAAATTTTGAATTTTATTTAAAAAAAATTATGAATATTTTTTTCAAAACGTGTTATTTTGATGAGAAACACAGAAAACACAAAATTTTGAAATAAATCTTTTAAAAATAAAAAAAAAATTAAAAAATATTTAAGAAAAAAATCTCTTTAAAAATGCTTTATTTTGATGAATAAACATGCAGAGAACATAAAATTAAAAAATCCTAAAAAATGTTTAGACTTTTTTCAAAAAAATGTTTTCTAAAAAGTTTTCAAAATATTTTTTCCAAGAATTAAAAAAAATGTTAAAAATGCTCTTATTTGATGAGAAAAATGCAAAAAACAAAATTTTGCCTTAAAGTGAATTAGGATTTTATCGAGATATTAAAAAAGGTTTTCCCAGAATTTTTTGAAAATGCTCTAATTTGATGAAAAACATACAGAAAAATAAAATTTTGAATTTTATTTTCAAAAATCTTTATGAAACTTTTTCAACTTTTGACCAACATGAAATGCGAAATTACGATTTTGCTGAAAAATTCCCCCCAAAAATTAAATAAAAAATCTGAAAAACGTTAGCATGACTGCCCATCCTTTGACTTTTTTTCTTTCTGTTTTACATCTCCTCCATCGTTTTAAAAAGTCTTTTTTTTTTACAGCAGCAAATTTGTTTTATTGAATTTGGACATAATCATATAAAATTGGTCATTTCAAGATCTCATGTCACAATAATAACATAAGCATTAGCTAATATTACAAAGCATTTTTATTGAAAAGAGACACGTGACAGTAAAACTCAAATTTTTAACATCACTGTACAAAGGAACAAATCAATAATTAGAACAATAATAGAAATAACAATTATAATTAGAGTAAAAACATCTGCATCATAAATCAAATCCTTGCTAAGGACAAAAACATGGACATCAAAAAGAAGGCATCAATGAAACTTAGTCATGAGTGGGCGGAGTCTTTGTGGTAGGTCTATAAATACTGGTACTAAGTACATAAAATACAGACACGACTAAAAACAAATGGGTTACTTTACTTCTCTTTATTTACAAATAAGCATTGTCTCCTGCTCACTTGATTTCTGTTGCAAAGTTTTTTGATTATATTATTTATAATTAATTTAAATACAGGCAGCTTCAGTCCGTTTGTTAGATGTTAGCTAACAGTTTTCACAACATGCTATCCTTCAGCTGATTTGAGCTAATTAGCAGATGTTACTGGTGTTTTGTTAAAAAGCAGAGGCTAGCAGAATAAGGATATTTAGCACGATTTAGCTCATTTGTGTTCACCAGCTAATAAGCATTAGCTGGAGTCTGCTTTTTAGATATTTAGCTGTGCCAGGACAGTTGACCTCGTCACTTTTTACATATGGTTTAATTTCCCAAGAAATAAAAAAGTCCTGATGTGACCTGAAAAAAGAACCAAGAAAAACGTTGACGCTGCTAAACCAAAATAAGCTCAAATTAGTTAACATTATAGAATGCTAGTTTACCCTTTCTTAACACAAACTAGCAAGTGTTACTCATTTTTATTAACCTCGTATTTCTAGTTCAAGGAAATTGTGATATTTGCATGTTGCGGCATTGCTATGCTAAAGTGCTCACTGCTTGCCTCAGTTAGCTTCAGTAACAGATGACCCTGATGATTATGTGTGGTTGAGTATAGCTAATAGATAATTTTAGCTATTATATAACTTGTCATGCTAGACATCTGCGTAAAAAAAAAAAGTAACTCACAATCAATAGAATTTTGTTAGTCTGCTTACCATGGGGAGTCGTCAGTGTTAATGACAAATACACAAAAACTGCTGCCATTATAAAAAATGATGTTTCATTACTCCAATGCTAATAAGCTAGTGTTTAGGTTTTCTAGTGTGAAATTATTATTACACGTCTACTTGAAGAGATACTGTAGTACTAGTGACTAATACTGTGTGATGTGGGTGATGCTCTAATAAAGTGCTTACGGCTACGAGTTGTGCTGATAGAAATGATTCTGTGTTGGCTGCGTTCAGCTAATAGATGTTAACTGTAGTTGAAACATGACATTTTTAATTTGTGAATTTAAACTGTTGGGGGAGTGACATTCTCTTTGCTGTAAAGTTCAGTTGAATGATGAGCTTTTGAGGCAACAGAGGAAGTGAGGTCACAGGAGTGGGAGCTGTGGTGAAGGTCATTAGTTTTAGTGCATATTGATCACAAAGTAAGTCTTTGTCCTGATATTCAGTTTCACACACTAACACGAATGTGGGAGGGGCTTAGTGTTCATGTACTTGATATAACCAACTGAAAGAGTATAAATATGGCTGTTTACACCTGCACCAGTATTAAAGTAATCAATAAGCATCAGCTTAAACTGGTGCAAATGTGAATAAAGTTTCAGCTTAAACTGTTTCAAACCGACACAGTGTTAAATTGAACTGGTTAAATGTGAACAGGGCTTAAAAACAAACCAGATTTACACGTGGACACAGTATGAACCTGTCCAAGTGTGGATGTCCAAACGGTTTCACCAACAATTTAAAATCAAAATGATTTCAACGGCTGAATTTAAGTGTTTTAAACGTATTTTTTTGATGACACAAATGTGAAAATCAGACGAACGAAGCGTTTACGTGAAACTGGTTTAAGTGTGAATGTAAACACTTCAAATATTAGAATCAAACTTGAAACAGACATGATCTAAAAACAGGACTGAGACCCAGTTTGTTAATCTGGGCTCATCCTGAACTGACCTTGAACCAGCTAACATTGTCACATCACATGACCACTGCTCTGGGTGATGTCATTCATTCATCTTCATTCATTCATCTTCTATCGCTTACTTCCTTTAGGGATGTGGTGGAGCTGGAGCCAATCCCAACAGTCATTGGGCGAGGGTGGGGCCGGGGGCGGGGAGTACGTCCTGGACAGTTCAGCAGTTAATCGCAGGGCCACGTCGAAGACAGTGTGACTAAATGATGTCATCAAAGACAAACAGGAAGCAGAAAGGAAGAGAAGACTATTTACAAAAGTAAAAGCAGGAGGAGGAGCGCTTGGCTGTGAGTGGCTGAGCAGATCCAAGCGACTGATTGGACGAGAAATAGAGAAGACGGACAAATATTATAACAAACATCGCTGCACTTAAAGATAAGCTACTAAAGGATGTGTTTTTCCCTTTTTTCCGAGCCACAGTTTTGACAGTTGCTGAATTATTTTCTTATTATGAAAAGGTCAAAGTTCAGCAACAGGTTGAAGCAGAGTTTTAAGTCTGGTAGAAATAAATGCAGAAATAAATCTGGTTTTTAGATTTGACTCACTTCAAGAAAAAAACATTGTGTTTCCAAGATTTAAACATTGGACAAAATATGTCTAACGATGTTTGTTTATTGAATATGTTAGGATTTTTACTAATGATTTTTACTAATCCAAATATGTATGAAAAGTCAGGAAACTTTGGATTTTGTTTTCTTCAGATTTTTTTTAAAACAATCAATTAAAGTGTTTTTATTTAACAGTTTTTAGTAATATTAATGAACTGTTAAGAATTGTTGTGAATTGTTAATTTAAATGAGGATTTTCTTTCCAGAAGGTGAGTGAAATAAAAATCAGATGTAGACTAGATGAAGACTTTTGTACTTTTTAGAGGTGAAGTAGTACAACCTCTACTTAAGTAGCACTTAAATGCCAGTACTATTTAAGTAGTAGTAGTATTTCCTGCAGTGCAGACTGCGACGAGGAACAGAATTTGAACAAAAAAACCCATAAAAATTCTGTACAATTTTTTACACCAGAAACAAAAAAAAATCCTTCTTTGTGCCTTGACAGTAACCATTGGTCCAGCAACAAAGAAATGTCACAAAAGATAATAAAAAAAAATTAAATTAAATTTTGTTCTTTTGTCCCTTCTTTGTTTTTGAACTGATGTGAAACATTTACATCTAGACTTTTTCACATTTACATTAAAATAAACGGCAGGATAAATTCACCGTCACCACGACAACCGTGAACCAACAAATGTGGGCAGAAAAAGAAATCATGGATCATGATTGGACCTGGAGGTGATTAGTGTGAACCGGTGAAGTCAACGCAGGCCTTGACGGGTCAGGTGATCAGTTCAGGTCAGGTGATCGTGGACGCCTTTCTCCGAGCATGCTTTGGATCCTGCACAGCACGTGCTCCGGGCTCGGTGGGTCTTTAGAAAGTGGCTTAAAGACCAATGACGGCGGCCGGTCAGATGAACGCTGCGTTACTGCTGCTGCCATTGTTGTTGTTACGGCTGTTGTTGCGTCGTGACAGGTTGGGTGTAGCCATGAGCGGGAACCGGTCGTCGGGGCAACCGTACTGAACCAGCGTTTCCACGCATTCTTGACCGATCGACTGACGGGCATACGCCACCGCACTGTTACCATGGACATCCCTGGCCGTCACATCGACCCCGTACTGAGGAGAGAAAGAGGGAACAGTTAAAGGACAGCACAACAATCAGCTACTTTTTACTCTAGCTAGTTAATGGAAATGATCGAATTTCATGAAAACAAGATAGAATTAAAAAAAAACATTGCTCACCATAACTTTTCAACATCAGACCAAAAAGATCATGTTGAACTAAGAGTGCGGAAATAATTACGAAAAAATACTTTTCTAGAACATTACATTCTGTAATTCTAGCCCCTGCATAGATATGTCATCCACTAGGGGGCCTCTCTGGACATTAACCCTTACCCAGATCAGTAACTGCGTGATGACAATGTTGCCTTTGTGAGCAGCTAGGTGTAGTGCGTTGCGGCCGTCTGCATCTCCGAGGGTCTCGTTGACCTGCTGTCGTGATCCGTGAGCTAGCAGCAGGACGACGGCGCGCAGATCTTCGTCGGCTGTGGCTCTCAGCAGCTGCTGACCAAGAGAAACGTCGGCACACGGCAGCGACGCCAAAAAGAGCCGCTGCTCGTATTTTGCTCGTATCCAGCGCTCACGTTCCTCCCTGCAGAGAAACACACAAATACACACAAATACAAGATTTTACTCGTTAGTCGGTTTAGTCACTAATCTTTCTGCGAGGAACATTCATATCCATTGTTTTTTGTCTTTTTTGGTGTATTGTTTTTTTTAACATGATTTTGATCATAATTCTTTTTAGCTACATTTCATCTAATATTCATGTAGCTGTCAGCTGATCGTGTTCACACCTTGACACACACTGAGGTCATGGGTGTAAAATAAGACACAGGGGACAGAGGGACAGACGTGGTTGGCTGTGGACACATTGTTGGCTGATAAAGTGTTGATGAGTCTAATCCTCAACTCTTATGGCTCTAATCTGGTCTAATCCCTCTGCTCATGTAAACACAGGATCATTCTCTCTGCTGGGATTAGTCCAGGATAAAAAGGAGACAGGAAGGAGGGAGGACGGCCCCAGGGGGACTGACACTGAGCTGTCCACCCCCCCCGCCTCCTTGTCCCCTGCCAGGGGCTGAAGACAAGACAGGAAAAGGAATAGAGCTTAAACACACGAACACATCGGGTTGCTTCAAGTGTGGTTGAAAAAGGTCAAGACAAATAGTCACTGCACTCTGAGCGCCCCCTACTGTTAAATTCTAGCGTTTAGACGCTTTTTTTTTTAGACGTTTTTTTTTAACAACAGAAAAACAAAGCTAATAAACCCCACTCTCTACTGTACAGGATCTCATTAAGAGAATCAATGATTTGTTGCTCTGCGTAACACAGGAGTTGTCGGTCAAGTGCTGCCTCCTGTGGTCAGAAGCAGCAGTGGATCAATGACTGCTGTAACCCCGTGGTTCACTGACATCCACAGGTTCTTCTTGAATTAGTTTCAGTGGTTGAGGAGCGGCCCGTCGTTCTCAGGCAGGTTCTTTTGTCTGTGGTTGGAGTTCAGATCTCCAGCTGATTCTGCTACTTGAGAAAAAAACCCTGAATTATCCCTTTCACTAAATTAAAACACCTCCTGCAGGGTTTTGGGGGCTGTCAGGAAATGGAGAAGGAGACACAAGAGTGGAGATGCTTCCACCATGAAATGACTCCATTGTTGTCTTACCTTTTAAAATTCCTAAAGACGTTCACAACTGAGTCATGTGACCAACGCAGGTCAACAGACAAATGTTTGGAGCTTGACTTGATAAAAAAAGACAAAAACAAACGGTGGGATAATTTGGTCCTGACGGGAAAAAGAAATCTGGACAGATGTAGTTGTGTGTGTGTGTGTGTGTGTGTGTGTGTGTGTGTGTGTTTCGGGGGTGTGCAGCTAGCATCACGGAATGTCCCTTTTTTTCAACATTCCCTCTTCCAAAGGAGAACGAGGAGGACGGAGACCAGCGCACGGCCCAGAGACCAAGGACAAAGACTGCAGACCTGTGTGTGTGTGTGTGTAAAACCTCAAATAAATTAACACACATTTGTGTGTCTTTTCACATTCCATTACACACACACACACACACACATTGTGTAAACAGGGCAGCAGCTGCAGGTCAGTTTCACCAAACAAACAGGAAACTGTGTGTGTACGTAAACATGAGTGAACAAAGTGATCGCTGATGAAGAACACACACACGATCACACACACACACGCACAGACACACACACAGGTCGGAAAATCTCAAAGTACCAAAAGAGAAAACCTAATTTACTTGAATATTATTATTAACTGATTAAACTTTAATGACTAAATATGACAAAAAAAGTTTTGTTTTAAATAAAAACATGCAACAAATGTTTTAAAATACTGAACAAAAGACAAATGTGTTAAAGGGCAACTTTAAAAAAATAATAATACCAACTGTACAAATAAACAAACAATTGTTAAATATCTTTGGTAAAATTATATCAACAAAGAACGTTTCCTCCTCATCATTGTTTATTAAATAAAACGCCTGTTCCTACATCAGTAACACCTTGGATGCTACATTAGGTTTTCAATAAAAATGTACTTATTAATGTTCATTAACATAGAAATGAACTAAAATCATCTCAGGGTTTTAATAGTTATTCGTATTAATATTATTATCTTATTACTGATTCCAGTATAGATCAAATCGTCTTTATTAACTGATCAAGTTTTGTTGCTAGGAAAAATAAATATTGTTTTCTGTTGTATTCACTAAAAATCTGCTCTAAAATTAAATATTAAAAAAGTGAAAATGAAATGAAGTAAACAATTTGGAACGAAGAGAGAGAAATGGTGAGTGAGTGTGTGTGTGTGTGTGTGTGTGCTAATGAGCAGCAGCAGACTGTGTTTCTCAGTGACTCTTCTGGCCTAATTAGCCTCCTAATGAATGGATTAATAGATAGTAAGAGCAGCAGCTAGCAGCTAACAGCTCACTGCCTGATGTAGCAGCTGATGGATCACCATCAGATTTACAACAAAGCTCTGGAGGAAACACCTCACAAACTTTTCCTCCGCTCTTTTGTAATCAATCTTAAAGCAGAGACCCTAATCATTTTGCTGAGGAGGGGGGGGGGGGGGGGGGGGGGGGGGGGGGGGGGGGGTAAAAATGAAAGAAGTGTGAAATCAATTAGCTGAGAGAGCGAGGTCGTTAGCTGCCCTCGGCTGGGCACAGATAATTACTGCTGGGTGGTGAGCTGAGGAAGGTTCTGGACTACGAGGAGGTTTCACATGAGAAGGTTTGACTAAATGGAAACAGAGGAGTTAAAAAAGATGTGTCAAATGGAGAGGAGGAGGAGGAAGGGAGGAGGAGGAGGAGAATCCTGCAGGGGCATCTGTACTATCGATATCTGTGGTTCAGTCCAATAAAGTGGACAGAGTGAAAACAATGGTTTAAAAAGACGCTAAAACTCTGCTGATACAAGAAACGTGTGTTCACGTCTGTATCTCAAAATCAGTTAGAATCAGACGTTAACAATCAGTGAAACGTGGGTTTGTGAAGCACTCACGCTCTCACACCAAACCTCACAGAGAAAATCTGTGATTTTAGATTAACTCCCCCCAAAACTGGTGACACAAACTGACCAAAGGAGCAGGAAGTGGACAAACTGGTCCACATCCAGACCAGAGTCTGGACCAGAACAGGCCGGACCTCATCTCTGAGGTTCAGGTTCAGAAGACGTTGATTGTCCTGACAAGAGTAGCACTGCCAATCTGTGTGTGTGTGTGTGTCTCTGCTTCATCTTCATCAGTTAACTGGCTGATCCCGCCTGCCATCATCTCACCGTCATTATCTGCAGCCCCCGCTGACACGAGCCGGCCCCTAAGTGTCACATTTTAAACAACACACACACACACACAAAGAGTGTGTGTGTGTGTGTGTGTGGACGAATGGCTCCTGACAGACAGCGCTGCAGCAAACGTTGAAAAATAATTGGCCCTACATTTTAATTCATCTGTAAAAGGGAGGCCTTGATTAAATTAGTCCTAATAGACGTTATTTTGTACATGACTTGATCTCCGCTCCTTTGCTGCCCCCCCACCCTCTCTCTCTCTCTCTCTCTCTCTCTCACACACACACCCCCACTCCTCTAACAAGACCAAGACCAATTTACCCCTGACATTAAACCTTCCGTCACGAGCCAATCACAGACTCATCCATCCGTCGTTTATCATCGCAGCGGTCTAACTAACGCAGGCGAAAAAGAAAAAACTAAATGCACCACGTTCCTTATACCTGTGTCATCAGATTACACAAACACAACCACACACACACACACACACGTCTTATCTAAATAATGAAGAAACAAATAACCCTTCCAACACTGTCTGTTTTTTCATCCACTTCACCACTGCCCCACCACCAGTCAGCGCAAGTTAAATACTGGAGCAGAAACGAACCTGTCCACCAGCAGAAAGACATCTCCCTCCTCATCCTCCTCATCCTCCTCACCCTTTGGCTAACTGGTTCACTTGCGGAACTTCACTTGCGGAACTCATACAATTCTACAAAAGAAGACGGGTGGCGTGAAGTTGTGGGTAAAATGTTTGGACGGAATCGGTTCAAACCTCACTTTCAACATGTTTCTGTTCATCCCCATACAGAAGTCCATAGAGAAAAACATTAATCTTGGGTCACAAGGACACAGGGGTTTGCTTGCCCACTGCTGCCTCCTGTGGTGAGTTTGTGTCACTCATGTTAAATAACACCTTTAAACTTAGTATTAGAAGCAGTAATGAATCAACACCTGCCGTGTCCTTGTCAGTTAAAATCAACTATTTCTTCCATGACGTTTGGTGTGGAAGGAGCATTAGTTCAAACTTGAGTTTCCTGGTGAAAGAGTCCAACGCTGAGGCCTAGACTCAGGAGTTAAGTCTGTTCTCGACTGACTGAAACCTTCACTGACTTCTTGGTTGACAGTCATGACTTCAGGCTGATCACGTGTAACAACACTTACAGCCCCCAACTGTCCATCTAATCTGCCTTGTTTGGGAGGTTACGTCCAATGACACAGCAGAGGATATGATGACATCACTGAGTGTGTCGGTGTCAGTTACTAAAGGCAACCCTTCGACACATGTCCGTCAGAAATCACACCAGTCCGGTCTCAGAGTGTGATCATGAGTTTATGGGGTCGGAGGCAGAATCCTTCCCCCCGCCCCCACCCACGCCTATGACCCTTGGGGGCAATTATCTTGTGATGCGTGCCCTTGTTCCCACCCCCTTTCTGCTGCCTGCTGCATTTGGTCCCCTGAGCCCAATCCGGCAGTGTTGTGGAGGCGCTGGCTGCACCTGCACCCCCGGTCCAGATTAAAAGCCCCCTGCTCTAATTTTAAATCTGTTAGCGCTGGCCTTTTCTTAAGGGGGAAAAAGACTAATCGGTTCCTATAAAAGAGCGGGGATTCGTGCGCGCCTCCTGACTGCGGCCCCGACCGAGCGGCTCCTGAATTATTACCCAGCGTGCATTCGTCATGTGGGGTCGGCTGTTAAGTGTGTGGTGGAGCTGAGACGTTAGCGTTGAACACTCATTCTTTAGCTCGCTCAGGCTCTGATCATTTTTCTGCTGTCTAATTAAGGTGTGGTG